TGTTGTTGTTGTTGTTGTTGTTGTTGTGTTTTGTTATTTTTTCGCTCTGATGTAACAGCTTTGTTAAATGAGTCCTGTGTTGCTCTTGTGCTTTCACTGATGAAATGAACTGCAATCATGTACGAACCTCAAACCTGGACTTAGATAGTGGTTTATAGAGCTCTGGTTTCTTACTAATGGAGAATATCCTTAGTTATTTTTTGTTGAAGGAGTGGCTCAATATTTTGGGAACAAATCCGTGCAAAAGTAAGGAAAAAAGTTTCACATGTTGAGTACCAAACAAAGATACAGTACACACATAAACGTGTTTCTGATGTTTTTCTATTAGTTGCCTGTGAAGTGGGGCTAAAAGCTATAAGAACAGATGTAATCACAGACACTCCATTTAGCGTTTTTCTTAGCAACCTAGCATTTTGTCTATACATCCAGTGAATACATGAATTCGTCTGTTCACTCAATTCGTTAAGGCAAACCCATTGTTTACCTACTGCTGTGTTACACAAAGCTAAATCTGAGGGTGATGGAGAACTGTGTAATTTTCTCTTGTGTAACGCCAAACTTGATGATATGGTTGCCTGGAAACCTCAGGTGCTGTGAGGCTAATAATACCAGAGCTTTGTCTGAGCCTGTGTTCCTAGACTCATGTCAGTGTGTGTCCTGGAACAACGGTGCTCTAAACAACTCTAACTCTAACCAACTAACAACACCATATTCTGTGTGTGTGTGTGTGTGTGTGTGTGTGGCCGTGTCCTCTCCAGACACGATGGCTCAGCTGATTCCTGACACAGAATCACCCCTCCACGATCGTGTGCAGCAGTATCGCCAGCTTCTCGACGGCCTGCCCATGGACGCTTACACACACGGCTGCATCCTCCATCCAGAGCTCACCATCGACTCTATGATCCCAAAGTACGCCACAGCAGAAATACGTAGTAAGTGAAGCCAGTGAAATTCCCAGAACAGGTTCTCCTCAGTCAAACTATGAAATAAACCGTTTACTTTTGGGAAATCCAAGTGACAAATGTCCGTGTAGGGCCTCATCTTCCCCAGTGTGAAGTGCTGGAAGATCGTAGATGAGATTATTGTCAGATAAAAAGTGATGAGCGTGGATCAGCGAATAACAAGGGAAGACTTAGCAGTTACAGTGAGAACATCACAGTCCACTGATGTGTATGTAACAGATATGTGCACGTGTGCATTGTTGCAGAATAACAGTGTGACAGTATGTTCTGCTGCACAATGACGTCAACACACGTTTGACGTCATGGAGAAATGCAAACAGTACGTGTTTACAGATGTGTGTGGTGGGTTTAACAATGAATTCGTTTTGAACACAAAAGTTTTATTAAGAAAGACTATGTTTGTACACAAACCACATTGGTTTTAAATTATATGTTTGTTAAACAAACACAGTCAATAAACAGTAATTAACCAAATCATTTATTATGCAGACTTTTTCATATCATTGATAAATATATTCTAGTTTTTATTTGCAGAACGGGGCTGCAAATGTGCAGAATGATTGCTGAGCAATTTGACGCTAGAAAAGTAACATCCTTGAACACAGCACGGTACTTCAGCATGTTATCAAAGCTAGGATAATAGGGCTGGAAGAACAATACAAGCTTTGTGTTCTACAGAGCGCCAACATGATATGAAAGTCCACGGCATTAACTATACTATTCTTGTTTTTTAAGAGACTGTATCGTCAATGAAAATGTTGCATTGTGAATAAATCCCAGTAGGTGGCAGTAGTCAACTCAGAACATTCAGTTCCCTTTCGGTTACGTCCAGAGAGGAAGTGAAGTCGCCGGTGTTAGCAGGCTTAGCTCTTGACCTAGCTGTTGTGAAGACTGGGGCGCAAAATGCTAGTTTCTAACATGCTAACGTGCTTGTGTTGTAATGTTGTGCTTCGTTTTGGCCTCGGGAGAATATGTCGTTAACGAGCAACGTTGTCGTTTCGCACGTACACAATAACTCGACAATAACATTAGTGCGGTGCTAAAACATGTCCGACACGCTAGAATCTAGATACTAGTGAATTGATAACATGTCACGCGTCTTCAGTTCAGTTCATATTCTTGTGTAAATGTTTTGAGCGCGTTTACATGATTATGTTTAGATTTATAAATTGACTTTAAAATGTGTACTTAGCACCACCTATAGGCCAGCGAAGAGAAGCCGCTTCGTCCACACTGGCGGGTTCAGTAGAGTTGTTTGTCCAGGTTGTTTTAAAGTAGACGGTTGATTATGTTTTGTGTGTGTGATTTAAGGACATTTGGCTAATGCTGCAACGGAACTGATGAAGTTGGACCACGAGGAACCTCAGCTAACAGAACCATACCTGTCCAAGCAGAAGAAGCTCATGGTCAGTCAGTGAGTCCATTTATAAAGGACAACATAAGAAAGACTAACAGTATATATTGAGACGTAATTATTATTATATATTTGTGTGTTGTGATGAAGGGTTTGATACGTGTTCCATTATCTTCATCCATTACAACCATGTAACAAATGGGAATGGAAATCAGTTAATCATTTTTTTCACTTTCATCCATCCATCATCGACCGCTTATCTGGAGCCTTTATTTATTTTAGATCCATCATCGACCGCTTATCCGGGGCCTTTTATTTATTTTAATTTCTCACAAATTCCAGGCAAAAATCTTAGATCATGACAACGTAAACTACTTGAAGAAAATTCTGGGAGAATTAGCCATGGTTTTAGATCAAGTGGAGGCTGAACTGGAGAAACGGAAACTAGAGTATCAAGGTATGTCCAAATTAAACGTTTACTTTTAAGAGTTACGTTGAAATAGCGATCAAAACATTTCCATCTATGATTGAGAAATCTTTATCGTTGTCCACAGGTCAGAAGTGTGAGTTGTGGCTATGTGGACCTGAATTTACACTAGCTGATATCTGCCTCGGAGCCTTGTTGCACAGGCTCAAGTTCTTGGGACTTTCTAAGAAATACTGGGAGGACGGCAGCCGACCCAACCTGCAGTCCTTTTTTATGCGTGTGCAAAAACGCTACGCTTTCCGCAAGGTCTTGGGCGACATCCACACAACCCTCCTGTCCGCAGTCCTACCCAACGCCTTTCGGATGGTAAAAAAGAAACCCCCGTCCTTCTTCGGGGCCTCGTTTCTCATGGGCTCTTTGGGAGGGATGGGCTACTTTGCCTACTGGTATTTAAAAAAGAAATACATGTAGTGAACGCCCTCTCCTTGTGTTAAATGTCTGTGTATTTGTGTGATGTTTCAACTTTTCTGTAATGTTTTATGACTGCAGGAAACATAATCAATCTATATAGAGAACACTATTACTTACATGGACAAACAAAGAAATATTAAAACATTCCATGATAAGAAATTCTCAACAGCACATTTTCTGGTAAACAATCTTTTTTTTTTTAACCCCCGTCATAAGATTTCTTTCCAGACATGTGCAGCCCCCTTTTTTGGTTGAAGGAAAATTCACTTTCACTGAAACTACAGTTTCTAACAGTTTCACAGTTTTACATTGACAGGGTGAACTGACCTTGGCAGGTCACTTAAGGCTTTGTCCAAATCTCTGCTTCATCCTCCTCCTCCTCCTCCTCCTCCTCCTCCTGAAACAGATCTTTAAACCACACACAAAGAACAGACGTAACTGTGCAGTTACAAAACCAGGTTCCATAATGGCATCTGAGCTTTTAAATGTCAGACCTCGACACGTAAGGCCAGTCCTTCCTGACGGGCTCAGCTCACTGTTGCTAGGTTCTGGAACTTTCTGAAATCAGCACATGAACTAATGAGGCTCCATTTTTACCCCTTAATGGAAAGTCTCCCAGTTTCTAACTAGTAACACTGCTGGACACAAATGTTTTAATTGCCGTTTACTTTGTTGTTGAATCTTAGATGAAAATATTTGACATGTACTGCAAAAGTAAACCGCGTATAACGTACTGTTGTGTTTGGGGTTTCAGCTTCTTTAATTAAGATAAATCAACATTCCTAAAGTTGATTAAAATCTTTTTTTCCCCCTCTTTATTGCTGTAACAGGCAGAAACCAAAACCAATGAGCAGGATTTGAGGAAATGATACAGCTCAGGTTGCATGGCATATGTAAGGATATTTTAAGACATTTTTTCCTACTGTTGTTTCTGAGCTGTGAGAAGGACAATGGCCGGGAAACAAACGAGAGGAACAGATCTAATTTATCAGACGGCTAGTAATGTTTGACTTTGTCTTAAGATTTCTCTTCAGAGGTTGATCCGATCCACCTCACTCCTTTAATTAGGTTTAACTAAAATAGTAGGTGCAAAACATTTTATTTCTTCGTACCTTTTGTTGTCACACATTTTGACTTGTACATATCGTAGACGACGTGTCCAACAACAGAACACAACAGTACCGTGACTGTTTTCATCCTTTGCTCAGCAACAAAGTAAATGAACATTTCACACTTAATGTCAAACAATTACTTTAAATGTCATTACATCGTGCACGAAATGACACACACGGACACGCTCATAGTCTATCTATAGTTTATTCAGGCCTCCAAAGGTCATACAGGTCACACATTGGTCCACCCTCACTTTCAGGACTCGGATGTTTTGTATCTTAGCTGTTTGAACGGTGACACTGAGCTGGTGGTAAAAGTTGTACATTCTGCGTAGATGGCACAAACACAGCTGTGTTGGGCTAATGATGTGTGTGTTTGCATGGGTACCTTCGAATTGTCTTTTTGAGTTGGCCCGACGCCCCGGGGGGGCAGAAACATCAATAACCACAGGTTTCTAAATGTTCTGCTGCCAAATGTAACCTTTAAAGCACCTGTGCACTGATGTGCACTGAAGACGGTCCCTCGGCCACGCTTCACTGCTGTGTTATGATTTTGTCCACCGCTCCTCCTCCTCCTCCTCCTCCATCTGCTCCTCCTCCTCCTCTTCCTCCTCCTCAAAGATGCAGGATTGTCTTTTACAGATAGATCATTTTAATTATACATTATCTCATCTATTTTGCTGCATTGAATTTTTAATGAGCTAAAAAGGGGTAAATAAGGGTGAACGGGGCAGGAGGTGAAATGCTGACTCATCTGAATGCAGAAGCTGCCTTTCATCCAAAACACAACTGAACGTGTGTCTTTGTTGTTTTGCTGAGGGGCAGCTGTGTCACTGAGGTTAAAGGTTAAAGGTAGCTTTTCATGGGTTGTTTTTGTACGCGCCTCGCTTTCTTCTGCTGCAGGAACTGATCTGTGCAGACAGTGACAGTGGTTTTCAACAGAATGTTGATGGAGATTATAAAGTACTGTAAGTGGTTAGAAAAAAAACCCCACGTTAGTCCAACATAGACCTCATGGTCCTACTGTTTGCAATCACTGCCTAGGTAGGTGTTACAAAGACTGATGGAAGCAGAGGTACAGCAGGCGACTCTGTACCAACGCCAGGCTCACAGGGCTCTCATTTAACAGTGGTTCATTTAAAAACTCAACTTGCGTTGCATAGCAACATGACAACCAAAAAATCTGGTGCAGCACTGACAAATCTATCTCTTATTTTTATCATTATATTGCATTTTTCCTTCACTGCTTAATCACTAAGTGCTATGTGACGTGAACATGCACAGCATAAAGCGTAAAGTGTTGCCACAGGTATCCACACACAGTACCTCTGTTTCCATCAGATGATTCAACATTTCAACCCAACCGAATTTAAAAAAAGAAATGAGTTAAAGTCACTCATTTTGAATTTTTATTGTGATCTGCTTTGGCGTCAAAACATACCAAAGAAAAGTTCAGAGTGAAACACACACAAACATCCTGTAAAACCTGGGGTGGTGTTGCACTGTATTTGTAATGATATTGTGGGCATCTTAAGACCCAAACACCACAGTCTTAACAGTCACCACTTAGGCTGCATTTGCACACAATTAAGGCCGAGTTCGACAACTGGATTATGACTAAATTCCTTCTCCCCCCTCCCAGTCAGATTTGTTATCTCATTTATAAAGATTGGGACAAGTTACAGCTGTAGTTTACTCAGTCCAATTTTGTCATTAAAACATTACATGTTGAGTTTTGAACAAGGCCAAATGCTGTAGATTAGAAATGTAAACTGGCCTGAATCAAACTGGCCTCTAAACCTACAAGTACTTCCAGGTTTTTATGAAAACACAGAACAGACACTGACATATAAATACCACCAGAGAAATTAAATCAACAGATAATCTGCAGGACACACGATATTTTGGTGAATTATTCTAGTTTTTGTTGACTTTCTCACGTGGAGCTCTTTACATATTTTGCTGTATGTCAAAACAGCCAATCTTCCTCTCACCCAGTCACGTGTCATGATGGATTTCATTTCTGTGTTCTCACTTGTTCTGAGTGAAGTCACGTCACCTGGAGGTTTAAATCTGTGCTTCTACGATCACATGGGAATCCATTTTGAGAATCCTAAAAAGTTGTAATTTGTGGTCATTATATTTCACTATTTTTTATTTATTTATTGTTTTTTTATATTTCTATATATTTGATTTATTTATGGTGCTTTTTATGATGTTCATGAGCCTTACTTTATTTTGTTGCCATCAATGACAAACAAATAAAAAAAAAAAGGAATACGCAGAATGTAGCTTTCACTTTGCTAGCAAGCAACTAACACTGCATGTTTTCAAGTCACGATAATTGGTTTATCACACAGTTACTTGGTTCTGACATTATTCCTAAAAATACTGATATCATTTAGAGCACACACATTAAATTAAAACAGGTTAATGTTCTTTCACCCCAAAAAATAGCAAAGCAATATTAGTACTTTGAACTGCTGTATTTGGCAACAATCACTCAGTAGATGTAAATAACATTTTTTTTTTAAATCATGGCAGTAACAGGATTCTCGTTGGATTTGAGAATAACCACAATCATTGTTTATGTTCTGGAAATAATACAATCGATGTCTATGACACTAAAAAATTAGCTTAACAAATTACCAGCGAATGTTGTGAACAAGATTAAAAATGAGACAGCTGACTAAAATCCCACATCAGGTTGAAACCTAATCTACCTGTTACTTGTTCAGTGTAGATTTATTCTAAAAACCCCTTTCACACATACTGTACATTGGTCTGCAAAAAAATATCCACACCATCAGTGTTGTACAATTGGAGTTGTAAACATTCTCAACTGTTCCCTCTAAAACATAAAATCCTAGGACTAATAATTAATCCTAATAAGGCAACAAGCTGGCCGACAGATGAAGGCTGAACACGTGGGCCACTGATGCTGACAATGACAAAGTTGAAGGTGGACAAAAGAGCAGCGTCTTGGCTTTGTCTCAGATTACCTGGAGTCATTTTAGGAACAGCAGCTGCCAAAGACTGTGGAGGAGCTGAGAGTCAGACCTCGTGGACAAAATGACCTTTCAGTGCTGAGGGAATAACTTTAAATAACATGCGAGCAGCTCATAACTGGACATGGATAACAACTGTAGTGTGTTACTGCGGCTTTAGGAACAGTGAATGTTGTACTGCGACTTAGGCGTGTTGTTTCTCCTCTTTTAGGTGACGCTGAGGCGGAAGTCCAGGTGACAGGGGGTTCAGATACCAGACCCGGTATGTGAGGTACCATGGCAGCAGCCCACACATGGTCCCTAACCACTTTTGGGTTTGATCATGAAAGTAAACAGAGGTACAGGTAAACATCCACACCCACATGATAATGATCAGATTGAGGGCCACGTAGAGCAGGTTGAGAACCATCCTGGGCAGCGCTGACAGACTGGTGGTCTTCATGGACGCCATGGGAGCTGTTTCCTCCATGATGAAAAGAGCAGAGTAGCACAGGATGAAGGAATGTCCCGAGATGTCGTAGCCGTCCCAGTGGAAGCCGGCGCGCCTGCAGGTGACTTTGGAGGTGAACTCCGTCTTTGTAATGTCTGCGGACGAAGGTTCAAAACAGACACCGCTGATGTCCTCGATGTAGAAGAATGTCTCGGTGAAGACGTACCAAATAGCTGTGGCCACCACCAAGGACAGGAGCCGCCGGCAGAGGAAGGTCCTGCTGAAGCAGGAGTTGGAAAGGAGCAGGAAGGGTGTCAGCAGCAGTAAGGTCCATCCCCAGGACAATTTGACAAAGTACCTGCAAAAGGAACACAACTTGGACTCAATGTAGCTGTAAATGTGAGACATTACTGTCAAAAGGAACACAACTTGGACTCAATGTTCGTTTGAATGTAGCTGTAAATGTGAGACATACATGACATACAACACAATGACATGGTTCCCTGGTTAAGATCTCAACTCACAAAGACAAAAGTAAGAATACTTCAGACGTATTTAATATTAATGTCAAAATCTCAGTTCACATTTACAGGACTGCATTTATAACTGCATAATATGGGCTACATGTACGTTTGATATTTTTTGTTGTCTTTTTGGACTATATTTAAATAATATCTGGTGTGACTTCTTGCTACTTTTGCGTAATTTTTATTTTTATTATCACTTTTTTGGTACAACTTTTTCTGACCTCGAGCAATTTCGGGGCTGTTATTTCTGTTGTTAACCGTTAGTACTGTTTTCTACAACTTGCAGTTACGATTTAATCACAACTCAAATAACATTTTCGAGAATTTTTTATTTTTTTTATTTTTTACAAAACAACAGCAGAATCACAAAACTATAGTCTCGCTACATAGGACTGGTTAGTTATTTCTACTAGGTTTCTTCACGACAGTCCGTGAAAAGGCTGAACTGTCAGTGAGCTTCAGGTGAACTCCCATTCTGGTTTTTTTAGCCATGCTAACAACAGAGCTAAAGCTACTCACACATTCAGGGCGTTTCTGCTGCTGCTGAAATACGTCTGTGGCACGAACTGCAGCTCCTTCAGAGCCGAGCCCACCACAGAGATGATTAAAAACGTCCAGGGGAAGAAGTGTCTAACACCCGGTATCCTCCACAGTGACACCAACTGATCCACAATGACATCCACCGCCGCCATGTTGACTACACACTCCACCTTTCCACCGGAAAACTTTGATAACACAGGACAGGACACGACAGCGGTATCGATCTTGTTAAACTGTGTAAGTTATTTAAATTATATAATTTCACCAAAAAAAGCTGTAAGACTTTAAATAGCACAGATAGCAATAGCATAATGTTAATTTTTAAATTTACTTTAAATAGCACAGATAGCAATAGCAAAATGTTAATTTTTTTAATTACTTTTTTTCTGTTTGGTCGTCTAGATCAGTGTCTAGGCACTGTTTGCATTTTGCTGCCACCTACTGTTTAAAACGGGTACTGTGTTTAAAAAGCAGTTCTTATGACCTTTCAATCCATCATTTGTTTTATTTTTTCTGCCCAGGGATTCTCAAAATAGGCTTTGCCAACCTCTGGACATATTTGAAGGCACGCCATGAGGTATGTTATATATTCTTTTAAATTCTTTTTATGAAATAACCAAATCAAATATCGTTTTGAACAGTAAATAGTTAATAACATCTATGTTAACTCCTAATTATATTAATATACAGTCATTTAATTGTATTTCTAATAACACATTGACATGATGTCATCAAACATACATAGGTAATGAAGAATTTTGATAAATATTTCATTTGTTTTTTTTCCCGAGGCTGAAACTGTCTTCATACGTACTGTAAATCCTAACTTTAGCCTGCTGAGTCACCGTCCTGCAAATACAGGTCTATAATTCTCCAAGTGTACGACAAGGTTTGTCCTTGATGCAGTCTGACTCAACAAACAAGCCTTTGTGGTAATGTGCTTTTCAGGCAGGACTGGAGAACTTAACTCAAGATGCCAAAAAATAAACAAACTTTTCTTGGAATGACTCACTTACAATACAGTAAAACTGAACTGCTGTTGTACTATTCACCTTCATTCTGATGCACACACCACAAAAGAAATGTATACCATGTTGTCAAAGGTCAAAAGGTGACCACTAGGTTTTCATGTACAAGTTTAATCCTGCAGTAATGCACTGGCTGGGCAGAGCTCATATATCAGTTTAATATAATATTAATATATTTTGGTGAGTGTGATTGGTTGGATTGAAACTGTTCGTCGAGCCTTTTTGAAACAGTGCTTTTTTAGATTTATGAGCGTAGTGTGGCTTTAATGTAAATGCTGCTGTAGGACGACAGGAGGAACTCATCTTTCTCAGGACTGTTTCCTGTCAGAAGCAGTCGCTGTGGTGCACTGAAAAACTGCACTGCTCTTAGTCATAAGATATAGTTGCTGTGAGGATTGTTCTGGTTTATGTGTGTAATGTTTCTTCTTGGGTAAATACAGGAGGCCGTTGAGTTCTTCCCCCTCTCCTCTGAGACATTATGGCCACAGTGTATGTGAGTGCCTACAGCTCATTGGTCAAAAAAAACAAAACAAAACAAAACAAAAACACATTATAAGTCACTAGTTCTCTCTGCTGTGAGAACACAGAGAATGGCCTGGTCCTTCACTATGATCAGACATTGATTTGAAACTCTTGAACATTTGGTTCTAAAAGCCACATTTCCATAAACTCACACACATGTACACATACACACACGTACAAAGTGTAGTTTTGTTATCTGTTTCTCTCTGCACCTGTCTGGCCGACCTGAATGATTGTAAACAGGTTAATATACTTTACTTTTGGATTCTGAAAATTAACAGATGTTTGTGGCATCGCTCAGACTCAGAGTGACTCTCCCCCTCAGTCAAAGCAAAAGTGTTGACGTCGGTGGCGCTCTTTGTTAGCTGCCACCTTCGGTACATTCTCCACTCCTCGCTCTTTTATGTGCATCCCCACCCTCGGCCCGTTTTCTTCTGTCAACTTCTTATTGACTCCACTCCATGTGGAGAAAACAGTGTTTGGTGATGAGGAAAAGGGAAAAGCACATAATCATTTTATGTCTATTTGAGTTTCTATCATCATGTTGCCATGGTTACAGCTGCTATATAGATTGGTGTCCATACGAGCCTAGTTACTGTTTAACCTCCCCACCCACATTTGCCCAGATTAGGAAAATCAATAAGATAACAGCAGCAACACGGGCCTTACCTCGCACCAACACTCCTCTCAGACCACACGGCCCGGCGCCAAACTTCCACTTTTTACACCTCCGGGCGAAGGAGGGAAAAGTGAATTAAAACAGATGCTGGACAGGAGGCAGACGACGACATGGTTAATGTAATCACACAAGTCACTTCCAGTATGGAACTTCCATTTGGTGAGTGCACGCCTTTGTTTTTCTGAACAACTTGGACACAAACAGGCTGAGTGGAACAGCTGAAATTTTTTAACTGATTTATTTTTTGTGCTGTATTTTCTGTGATTTGCGCGATATCAACTGTTCTGCTCTTCCTGTCGTCTGTTCCTCGGCTGATTGTTAGGGAAATACAGTATTATCGCCATTTGTGTCTGGCTTTTTCACACGGCCATAATCCAGGAGGTGTGTCACAGACGTGGAAGTTGTTGAAAACAGGCCATGGGAGCTGGGCCTGATGATGATGATGACGACGATGATGTTGAGTTGTGTTTACTGGAGAAGTTTAGGTTTTAGCATTATTACTGCTAAAACTTATGGAAATTAGT